GTCCTCAGATCGCGCGCGGGTGACAAAAGTACCTACTCGAAGCATAAAGTTACCTGTATTTTTCCAACCAGCTGCAAAGCCTACAGTTATTTTTGTCATCAATTTAAGAATTGTAATTATTTTGTGTTGGTGGCTTTATTATTATAAAATGAAACATTTTTAGCAAAGGCCAGCTTAGGAGTACCCTAATTACGTTAATAACAATGTACTACCTATATAGTTTAAGTTTAAAAAATTTGGCTCTCAAAAGAAATTTCAATCATTGTTCTGTTGACTAATGAGTTTGCCGACCACTGCCCTAGACACTCAAACCAAAAAAGAAAAAACGTAGAGAGAATTGTACCCAAATCTGCAGACAGATACCCTGAGTCCTGACTGTCCCCTGTCTTGTCTGAACCAGCTAGAAGTTGAACTCAGACAGGAAAGGAATCCAGCAGCGACTCACTCCCCAGAGAAAGTGGGTAGTGGAAAGCGGTGGACATTAGGTGGGACACACTGTCTGGCCCTTGCTCAGTGCTCACGTGGTCCTTTGAATGAAATACCCAGATCCTGTGCTGATGATCTTTCCTGGTAGACAGCACTCTGGTTGTCTCCCCCGTCACTAGCTAATGGTGGCACTTTAACCATCAGCGGAGCCTTTGGTCCCAGCCTATCCGATTTGGGTCAAAAGCTTGGACAGAAGACGTGTGGTCAGCGCACGTCATAGCGACTGGTTGTTCAGTTGTTGGGTTGTTCTGCCGTTTGGTCTATTTGAATATTCGAGTTTTTTATATATATAGTTAAGTTCTTCTTCTCTAAAGCATGTTGTGCATTTTCTCTGAAAGAATTCCTGTCCATTTAAATAATAGCATCAAAAATAAATAAATAATAGCTTCCCGCCCTGATGGAGCAGATGTGGGGACCATGGGGCCAGGACGCCTGCCCCGGGGGTTCCCTGCCAGGAGCCCATCTGTCTGCTGGGCGCTCTGACTGCCTTGCTGTGTCCTCCCTTCTGTGCCTTGGCTTTCCACCTGCACCCATGGGACCCTGGGGGGCGCTGTCCCCGTCCTGAGTTCCGTGTTCCTGATCCGCAGGAGGGCAGGGCGGTGGAGATGCACTAGCGCAAAGTCTGCAAAGTGCCTTCTGCGTCTTCACTGTCACGTGGGAGCCGCCCCATCCCATCCTGTCAATTTGGAGAACGAACAAGCAGGGGGAGGGATGCAGCCTTATTCAGTGGGCCTTGTGGGCCTAGATCCAGGGAAGAAGACATAGTCCCGATGGCGCAGTGTGAAGGGAGGCACCAAAGGGAGGCTCCAAAGGGAGCTAAGTTCTCCCCCCTGGCGGACAGGTGGGAGGCGAGGCAGACTTTCAGTGGGACGCTGTGCTGAGTTCAGTGAGGCGGGGACATGGGGGACTTAGCCATCGGTGACAATGACAATCATGACATGGTGGTGTAACTGCATGCGGTTTCTACCCGAGTTGGCATTGTTTCTTAAAGAAATAGATGGGACTTCCTGTTGTTCTCTGAAATCATCATTATCATGAGCATAAAATATTTGAGACTTTTCCCCCCATATTTCTCCTGGCCAAACTCTCCTTGGTCCCAGACGCTCTCTGGGGAAGGCGTCCCCATCTCGGGGGAGGCGATGAGACTGGTGTTGTATGCGGCACAGAAAGGGCTGAAACTGGAAGCCAAGTGCCTAGGCTCCTGGGACTTATAAGAAGACTCCCTAGACTTTCCCACTTGCAACGTGGAGAAAGTACCTCCCTGTCTCACAAGGGCATGGAGAATGGCGCCTGCGAGAGCCCTGTGAGAACATTTAAGCATAAAGACAACTGAAGGCATCTGTATTACAGTGAAGTCGAAGGAGGCCGTGAAGTAGAACCTACAGAGAAACCTCTAGGCTCTATCGGGCGGCCCCTCCTCCAGGCATGCGCTCTGCACATGCTCTTCATGTGACATAGGTGATAGCACCTTCCTTTCTTCCTCACAGAGCATTTGTGTTGGGGGCAAACGTTTAGACGTTGTTTTAGACATGGCGAGTAATGACGAATCATTGTTAAAATGTCACCCCTTGCCTTTCATGAGCTTGTATGGTCATCAGGGAGATAAGATACGAATATAATGAGTTACAGGTCAGTGCAAGCTGTGCGAGGGGCATAGGAAAGGCAAAACCAAAATACTGCTCAAGGTCAGAGGCAAGAGAGTCTACAAGGAGGTGGTGGGAAGGGACCCAGTGGACAGCAGGTTATGTGAGGGCAAGAGGCGCTTAAATGCATGGCCGGATTCAGGGGATAGCAGGTTGTTCTGCTTGGCCTGGGCACAGAGCAAAGAAAGAAGGAAAGAATGGGGGGGGTGGAGAGAGAGGGAGAGAGAGAGAGGGAGAGAGAGAGAGAGAGAGATGGGGTGGGAGGAAGGGTGATCCTACTTGAGCACAATGTCTGGCATACTAAAATTGAAAACCATGGATAATTATTGCACTCATTTTAGAAAACATGGAAGAAATTAGTGCCTTATGTGGGATCTTAGAAGTGAGTGGCCCCTGAGACCGTTAGAACCAAAGGCTCCTGACTGCAACCTCGGCTCTCATCTGTTCCTGAAAGAAAATGTCCCTGCCTGTGACAGTGAGAGAGCAGGACGAGTGGCCAAAAACCATAGCGTGTTTGATAAACAAGGTTTGTACTTAGAATAGTACCTACTGTTATATTCAGGACAATGTACCTCCGAATGAAATGGACTATGACGAATATCTGTTACACGCACACAGGACAAATTATAGCATTTTAAATCCCACTGCCTAAGTCTTTGAGATTACCAAGATAAAGAACATATCTCTTCATTCAAGGCATAAATAAAGTGTAGAAAGAAGAGACAAACAATCAGTGATTTGCTTTATAATTTACTGTGCAGGGAAGAAAACTTTGTCATTGGCCTGACGGAAATAAATGTCATTTAATTAAAAATACACTAGGAGCCCTAACTGGTTTGGCTCAAGTGGATAGAGCATCGGCCTTCAGACTGAAAGGTCTCAGGTTCGATTCCGGTCAAGGGCATGTACCTTGGTTGCGGGCACATCCCCAGTAGGAGGTGTGCAGGAAGCAGCTGATCGATGTTTCTAACTCTATCCCTCTCTTTTCCTCTCTGTAAAAAATCAATAAAATATATTTTTAAAAAATACGCTAGGAAATGCATGCGTAGAGTGGATGAATAATGGGGGGGGGCGGGTACTATATTACATTGATATATCGGCTATGAGATGGCGGTTCAAAGTTCGAGTTGCCTTAAAATACCCTTCTCCGTGTATAATGGGATTTATTTGTAATGATGCTGCTCATGTAAATTCTGTTTTAACTTGCACATGCTGGACATCGGATGGTGGGAAACATTGGGTCAAAAAGAAGTAGCTGTCCCCTGTATTTCTGATAGGAACGCTGGTCAGGCGGACCCTGTGATGGGCTCATTGCTGTAGAGAGGGGAGATTAACACGCAGTGCCTGTGCCTTTTGGCCAGCTTTCAAGGCCCAGGCTAAGAAAGAAACCATGATTTCACAGAATGACTTTCCTGAATGAACCATTTTATGTCGTTTTCTTGCTCTTAGCACTTTCAGCCCTTTATTCAATATCAGACATTGTGTCAAATACCATTGGCTACTTAAGGAGCCAAGGAATCAATCATTCCTTTTGTCTTCTTTTTCAAAAAAAAAAATGAATCCCTGTCCAAGAATCTCTCCTCAAAGGGAACAAGAGCACGCGGTTAACTCTGGGAAGCCCCAGTGCTAGGGGCTCTGCATAAATGGTGCAAATTTCCCTGCCACACTCCTTGTTCTTAGAGCTGCACGTCTACTCTACTGTCCCTTCCACATTTCTGAACCTCAGGCCCAGCTTGAGAGGAGGAACAGGCTCCCGAGACCCATCACTACCCTCTGGGTCTCCGGTCGTTGGGTTTCTGTGAGGACGTAGTGTGACATGTGGCTCACCTACCGAAGGAAGGCCAATCCCTGACCGCACTAAGGGCACCTGGCAGGACAGCCGCGAGGCCAGGCCACTGGACGGTCATTTGAGAACCGAGTCCCCAGCTTTTCTGCTGCCGTGACTTTCTGACAGGGCGTGCTTTCGCCTCAGTTGTGGTCATTGCCAATGTGGACCGAAACTGGTTTAGCTGAATTATTCAAAAGGTTGAGTGTCTACCTTCACCCCCTTCAAACCCTCTAAACCTTTCTCCAACTAGAAAAGACAGAAAAAGAGAGAAAGAAAAGACAAAACGCTTTGAGCCTGATCATGTTCTAATTTTCTTACTAATAAAGGTATTTGATACATCATTTGTAACTAGGAACTTATTAGATAAATTATATGAAGAAAAATTGCAAAACTACAATTGCATTCTCTCCCTTTACACAGTCTCAAAGCTCTTCCAAAAACTGTCATTTCTTTGCCTCAGATTTCAAGGGTGAAAATTAAGGAAGCTCTTCCTCTAAAAGGAAGTGCCCACCTGTGCCCACCCCAGGGCACAGGTCCTGCCCACGGGGAGCCGCTGCTCGGGGTCTGGGGAGTAAAGCAGGTCGTGTCTGCAGGTCCCATTATAGGAGCCGCCCCGTGACGGGAGGGAAGATCCTCCCAGAATGATGACTGGCGGGGAGCGCTGGGGATTCCTTCCTCTCGGGGCCCCCTTCCCCCCACCCCCCGTGGAATGGCATTGTTTGAAAGCAGACACACGACCCGTGTCCTGGGACTGAAATACTCTGTATGTGTTGTCATTTACAGTGCATGCCAAGACACTCATGAGCAGCAGAGCCAAGCTGGCGAGCTAATTAACTATATATGTGTATGTGTTTAAAACAGCCTGATAAGGAGCATTGGAAATCTTCAAGATGAGCGAATATCTTATAACTTCTTTCGCAGGTGCCAGGATAGCTACAAGCCATGGACTTTCTGTCCTGCTTCTTGTTTGTGGCTTTGTGAAGGGTGCTTTGCTTTAATCTAAAGTGCTGACTTTTTTCCAATATCACTTTCTCTTCTTAAAGCAAAGAGCAAATCGCCTGTAAAACCTACGGAGCGGACAGCAAAGTTGACCCTAAACACCAAGCACCACCACGCACCCACTGTAGCCTAATCCCCCAGACAAGGAGCACCTGCTTCCGGAAGCATAACTGAAGAGGCCCTCACACGCTTTGTCCATAATGTTTTCTTGGGCAAAACCCATGATCTTTCATTCCAAGAGAATTAGTGTGAAGTGATAGGACATGTTCCGATAGCAACATCTCTTTTTTCCCCTTTTCTTCCGGATACTGAAAGCATCCTCTCACTGAGGGCCCAGGGGTTGGCCTGAACATCATCGGGATAGTAAATATTTACTATGGAGATCACCACTTCCTACTAAAAGACCCATCATTGCAGGAAGCCAACAGAGATCAAGAGACTCCAGGACATACCAACTATCACCAAACGACACCCCAGTTTTGGGGGGCAAGAACAACATGATCACCACTGCGAGACAACGAGGAGAACCTTATTTTAAATAAGAAATAATAAAAGAAAGAATTTTTTTTAATTTTCCATTTTTCCTTGGATTTTTCTCCTTTTTCTTGATTACAGTTCCTGTTCAATGGTGGCAAGTCGCTGATTACGGCCAATCCCTGTCAATCCTGGGAGCTTTCTATAAATACATTTTGGGTGTTCTATATCTCAATGTATTTTAATTCATTTTGCAATTCCTGTATATGCAAACTGGACAAATTCTGTAAATTGCTTCTAGTATGTGTGCTATAACTTCAAAGTAGATAGACTATGACCTTCATGCAAGCTGGTTTTTATCATAATATATATAAATATACAAAGATTCACATGGTGGGTCATCAACCAAGGTTTTTTTGACAAAGCATTTGTTTCTCACTGATGACTCGCGGATTGTGTGGATTTTGAAATGCCTTGTTTCACAGCCACAGGTTTGACAGCTGCAGGTGGCCTGCTGGCTTCTCCTTCCTTCTGGAAAATGCATATTCCGGCTTGTATTGGTCTCTGAAAAATGAATTACTTCTGTTGTGTGTATGCTTGTTGGGATTTGCTATGTTTCTTCACATATGGTGTTTGTTGAGTTTCGAGGGTCTCGACTCTAAGGAATGTACACTCTCTGGTTTTGATGGCGATCTCCCAATTACAGTCATCATTGTTACTGTCCAAAAGCAATGTTGCTCCTAGAAAGTTTGCCTCAGAGGTGACTGTGGAGAAGACGAAGTGGTCACCATCACTCCCTGACTTCATGGAACAACACTTCTTGCTGTGGCTAAAGATGTGCTTCCTTTGACCTTGATGAATTTTTGTAGGTTCATTGTTCTGTTATTTGCTCCGAATTATCTCTTAATGTCTCCTAATTAAAAGTTAAAATGTGGTTGTTGGCTCAATAGAATATGCAAAAGATGACAACACATTTCGGATTGAAGAAGATCATGTGTTCAGTTTTTGCTGCTTAACTGGATTATTATTTTAAATGTTCCATTCTTATTTGTGGTTTATGACCATTTAGACTATTTTATTTAGAGCCTGTTTTCTGCTCTGGCAGAGAATGATGGGCAGACCTGTTTGTGTGGGCCATATCCACTATGGATAGATGCGGGTTGAGATAGCAATGACCTGAGTTTCCTTTCCAGAGCGATCCTTCCTTTTTTTTCATAACAAAACCAGAAGACCCTCAGCTCCTAGCCCAAGGTCCTAAACTGAAGCTTGAAGGCAATGAATACCTCTGCTTTTCGAAGGTAAATGCATTGATTTTCTGCAATTCAATTACAGGCAATGTGCATATTTTCATAATATTCTTGACATTATCTACTGAGAATTAATGCTTCATGCTAAACCTTTGATTGACATTTTCCTTGTTCATTTGGTTTATTATTTCAGTCTAATGAAAAAATAAATAAAGGATTTGATTGCACTATTTTATTAACTTAGAGATTTATTTTCCTTCAACGTTGAATACTTAAAATGCATACAATAGTGGGAAGATCAATATTATTTATTAGGTCTACCTGGGCTTTAAAGATCACATATAGTCAAGTATAAATTAGTTTACGATTCACATTTAGTCAGTCTGGGAAAACCCATATGTAAGTTACTTTTATCTCAGTCGGCACATTGTGTCAGTGTCCAAAATAAGACCTCTCTGTCAGTAAGCTACCAAAACTCCGACTCACCAGCCTCTTTGAGAAAAAAGCATGGCCTAGAAGCTATAACCAAGGAAGGAGACCCTCCAGTCATTTCCACCTTATATTGCATCCCTCCGGGACTATGACTTTGTAACTAGGACTATGGAGTCAAATGTAGATTGAAAATGAAGTGACCTGATTTTTTCAACCTTGATTTCCAAGGTTAGTTAATGTCTTTCAAAAAGATGAAATCATAAAAAGTTGAAATTGCTTACCTGAATTCAAGACAGGCTCTTTGGTTCTTTCTTAAAGACTTACAAATTGTTTACAAATGAAACAAGGCCAATGAAAAAACTTGAGGGTAAAATAGGATAACAAAAATTCTCTAAAACCAGAGCTTTGAATGTGAGCTAGTAAGTAAGCTTGGGGGAGTCCATGAGCCCACGGAAACCCTATGCGTGTTTCAGTAGATGTGTCTTTGATTTCTGGAGATGGTCCCTTACATTCATTGATTCCAAAAATGATTAGAGTATGAGTTTCTTGCCTAAAAGAAGAATGATTAGATGTTTTTGAGCACCTGAAAGAACCTGACTATCATAATTTTGAACTATCATAATTTTCCCCTTAAAGTTCTTGGAAACAAGACATGTTTAGGGAAATAGTGTGTGTGTATATATATATTTGGCCAAGAAAAAATATATTTTTATGTCCTTTTGTATTTCTCATATACAGCATGGTATAACAGATATGGGATAATGCTTGTTGAATTTTTAGAACCAAAGCTAAGAGCTTAAAATATAATTTTACAAAATATACGCAGGTCCCATTCAAATAAGTGGTCCTGGTATGGATACTATATGAAAGACAAAATATTAAATACAACTTAGTGGTGGTTTCTATAAGAAAAAAATAATTGCAAAAGAAAATGTAACTTCTTCAATAATACATAGACTCTGATGATTCCATCTTGGAATTAAGACTGTGAAGCTACAAAATATGTGTGCACATGATTTCCAATGTGCAGCCCAAATAACTTTAATTACAGAGCCTCTCACTCAGTAGGGGAACAGCCTATCACTCAGAAAGTGCCCTAGACTTTACAGTCTCCTCAACAGAATTGCTAAGGTCCTTCCCTTATTGAAGGAGCAATAGAGAGTAAACAGTCAGAAACAATAAATTCTACCAAGAAAACCCAGTAGCACACTAGCTGGTTTGGCTCAGTAGACAGAGCGTCGGCCTGCAGACCGAAGGGTCCCACGTCCGATTCTGGTCAAGGGCATGTACCTTGGTTGCAGGCTCCTCCCCGGCCCGGTCCCTGGTCAGGGCACGTGCAGAGGCAGCCAGTCAATGTGTTTCCCTCACATCTGTTTCTCTCTGTCTTTCCCTCTCTCTTTCACTCTCCTTAAAAAGCAATGAAAAAGTATCCTCTGGTGAGAATTAACAAAGAAAACCCAGTAGCATGATATAAAGGAGTGTGGCTAGAAGTGGTCTGAGGAAGTGACATTTAAGTGAAGCGTGAATGACAAGTGGCGAGGCGGCAGAGGACCTGGGAGAAGCAGCATCCAGGCCCGTGCCAAGCTCCGAGCCTGCAGCCCATCGAGGCTGGCTAAGGGGCTAGAAATGGCCAGGGCACAGTCAAGTGGGGAGAAGGTCGTGAGAAAAGGTCAGACGAGGGAAAGCCCGGCAAGACCCAGCCAAGGACGGAGGAACAAAACAGAGTTTCTGCAGATTCTAGTGTGAGCTCTTATTCGGAGCCAGGACACGGGCCATGTCCGCAGCGGACTTCTCACCGTGTGTAGTTGAGCTTGTAAACAAGACTCCTTTGGGAACAACACTGAATCTTTCCTTCCGTGAGTCAAGGTACACTTTTGCCTAGAAGCTGCCGGGTACATTAGGCAGAAGGCAATTTACCTCCACCTTTTAATGCTATTTTACAATTGTGAATTTTGAGGAGGAAAAGGAAAGATTCGAAGACTTAATGGGACTACATTCAATGTAGGACTGGACTACTTACAATAATTACAAATGTAGTTTGAAATAAAAACAGGAGTATGTAGATTGAAAGAAAAGAGATTCACTCCTAGATACTTGTTGGCAAAACATTGTAATTAATAAGGGAGGAGGAGGAAAGAACTCTATATGTACTGGCGGTGGGGGGGGGGTGATGGAAAAATCAGAAAGTAAGATCTTAGAGTTTTCCAGAAGACAATGGATTAAGAGGTACAGTGGGAAAATATTACTTTAGACTTGGTTAAATTCTACTTTCATTGTTAAATAAATAAAATCATTCTGTGATAGTCAAAGCTTATAGGAAAATAGCATGTATCTATTTCTTCTTGAAAGCTATGCTTACCTACCTATATGCTCCAACTCAGATAGGAATCAAATACAGTGTTAAAAAATAGGCATAGTATAAACTGTCTACCATAAAAGATTGTGTTCAATGTAAGGGATTACTGAATATTTTATGGTGTTTCACTGTATTTGAAAAGCGACTAAAGTTTCACAAAACAATATTTACTCTTACTTTGTGCATGTAATGAAATGCACTCTACTATTTCCTATTTTGTTTTGTTAAAACTTGTCAAAAACCATTAAATTGGTTTTACAACCTGAAATTTGGTGGGGGGAGGGGAATCACAGTTGTATTTTATTCCAAAATGTAATACAAGTGGCACAAATAATTAATTAAATGACAGTATATAATTTAAAACAATAATTGGAGTTCTAAACTCTTACTATGTTTTTTAAAACCAGAAAGGCAATGAAAGATGAGCCGAGGAAGAGAAAGGGCATTCTTTGTTGCGGACCAAAGCGGCACTTGTGTTGGGGGTAGGAGTGCGGTGCATGGCCTGTGGGCTTGGTGCTCTGCTTTAGGTTTCTATCTTCCTCTTTTCTGGTTTATCCATGTGTTTGCGATATCCCCACCCTTAGTTACACATGAGGAGGTTTCCAGAAGATACTGTCCTCTTCAAAGCTTTGAGAAACCACTGGAGAGCAGCAAGCCCACATATTTGCAGTCCCCAGACACCAGAGAAGTGGTGGGCGACGCTGGAGCAGTGATATTTAGTCACTGGAGGAAAGGCCTGGGTGGTGACTGGAAAAATCAGCCCAGGAAGGTCGGCAGCATCGTCTGACCCCGTTATGAATCGTTGATTGATCGTGGGGTCTTCAGGAAGGGAACAGAAGGGCAACCTTCATGAAAAATAGTCCATTTCTTGAAAACAGAGTTTTGAGCCACCACAATAAAGTCACACTCCTCATCCAAACCTGTCACCAGAGTCAGATTCATTGAAGGGATCACTGGTCTTAGCAACAGCATGTCATGTGCGTACCAAGAATATTGCTCTCAGCATCCCCCGAAGGGAACTGAGACCTTTGGGAGTAATTGCGCATCAAAGAAATAGAATTATCCATACCTTCCTCTGTTACTAGGTAATGACCCAGAACTAATACCATATCCTTGGGTCCCTGGGGTGTATTAGTCCAAGACTCAGTGAGCATGGGATTATGGGAATATTCATCAAAATCTATTGTTGGCCCATGGAGACCACTATACCCACCTTCAATGATTCCCCAGCTCCTGAAAACACAGCTGAAATGTATACCTTTAGCAACGGAACCAAAAAGAAACTGTACACTGGCTCCCTGTGCCATAGGCAATGGCTATAAGTTTTTGAAAGACCTTTAAGTTTCTCCTCTTCACCAAAATAGTTAATAAAAATAAAATGACAGACGTGAGTGGCACAAAGTCGTGGATGGAGCATTTACCTCTTTCTTTGCTAGGACAAAAGAAAGCTGAGTATTGAGTCTGGGTTACCATAAGCAAAATTAATGAGTGTAATTGTAGCCACTGATCCAAATATAGCTACTGGAGCAAATCAGCAGAGCTCCCAGCAGCTGTCATGCAGTTAATAATTGGGTAGTTTTCTACTTTATTGCAATTAGAATAAATAAAAGGGTGTTTATTTTTTTACCTGGCAGGGATGAACGTATCCCTTTACTCTCCTGCCTCAAAGTTCCGTTGACTTTCTGGGTCTGAACCGCACTGTAGTCTTCCCCACTCGCCCCTTGCACATCCTATTGATGGCATCATGCTGGTAAGATCTGCACATCAGGATGAGGCGGCACCCTGGGGGCTTTCATAACACACACACACTCTGCGGGATGGAAAACGTCTATAGAACACGTAGGGCCATGATGGCGCCAGCACACCTTCAAACATTCGAGGAAGGAATAACTCCAGTCTTTCACAGGCTGTCCCAGTGAGTAGAACTATGGCATGGTCTCTGACTCATTTTATGAGACTGGCATTACCTGGCTAGCAAACCTGACAATGACAGTGAAAAGGGGCAATTACAGACTAATCTAACCCATGAATGTAGTGCAAAAATCCTTTACAAAATAATAACAAAACAAATCCATCAATGCATAATACACCACCTAGACTCTAGGTCCTAGAGTAACACATTTTATTTCAGGAATGCAAAACTAGGGGGGTGGTGGGGAGCAACGAGACTCTCAATTATCTTAAATTGTTGTCGCCAGGAGCAGACAGTGAAACCAGGATTCGAGGGCAATGGATTTATTTGGGAGGTTCCAGAACCACAGAAGGAGGAAGTAAGAGAGAGAAAAGAAGACAGGGTGTGTGGTCAAGCCAGCTATCAGTGCAGGCTTCCTGAGTTCCATCCCATGGGGAAACTAAGCAAGTGGCGTAAAACTCACACCTCAGACTTATGCCCATCCAAAGGAGAACTTGGAGTATTTAAATACCAATTCCTGCCATCCTTGGTTAAAGGTG